TATTTTAACGGATCCATATATGTGCTGTGAAAAATAAAATTTGTTGAACAATTAAATTGAATTCGTATCACATTTTTTAAATCGGATTTGAATCGAATTTATATTTGTTTGAAAAGAAGATAATCAAAACTTTTTCACTTAAGCCACTTTAAAAATGATAAAGTAAACATTATTGAATTATTGAAGGATAAATAAGAAAATCAAAAGTTTTTCATTTAAGTCACTTTTTCTCTTAAGCCACTTTAAAAAGGACAAACTAGATATTATAGAATTATTGAAGGATAAATAAGAAAATCAAAAGTTTTTCACTTAAGTCATTTTTATTATTGGAATATAGATGGAGATAGAAAAAGATCCTAAAAAATGGATAAAGTAGACATTATAGAATTTTTAAAGGATAAATAAAAAAATCAAAAGTTTTTCTCCTAAGTCACTTTAAAAAAGATAAAGTAGATATTATTGAATTATTGAAGGATAAATAAGAAAATCAAAAGTTTTTCACTTAAGCCACTATTATTAGTAGTACAAATAAATAAGTCTATATTTTTCTGGCTTCTCTTTTTCCCCTAAATTTATGTGCTAAAATATGGGTTAACCTCTCACATAGCTTAAAACTTTTGAGTCTGGCCTAAAGTGACATGCTTGAGTTGGATTATCAAAAGTAGGCTACATTTACATGCAACAAACAAAATTTACAAATATCAGAATCAATGAAGGTTCAAAAGCCCTTTTTTGTGAAGGTGAAAAACCTTAATGATCACTTTCCCTAAACCTAAGGCACCACTTAAAAAAATTGTACTCAATACCCAAGATTAGGTTGATCAATGGATCGGATTTTAATCTAAATCTGAATTCGATTAACCAGATATGAATTAATATTTTTTTATTAATAATCCGAACTCGAATCCAAATTATATTTCACGAATTTGAATTTGAATATACCTATATTCAATTAAATTACGATCAGATTATTTATATATTTTTATATAAATATTAAAAAAAATTAAGTGATTATTTATAAAAATTTAGGTATAATTTGTTAAAATTTAGTTAATTAAGTTATTTAGATCGGATCAGGTTTTCAGATTGTTAACGAATTTGGACATGAACCACGAAAATAAAATTCGTCGGATTCGAATTCAAATTAGTCAGAATCCGATCAAAACCCACTCCGTTGACAGTCCTTCCTACGACTCTTGCTTATAGCAGGCTTGGAAAAAGAAAATAATATTGAGTTTTACCCTTATTTTGTAAGTTGTTCATTTTCAGACTCGAACTTGTAATGTATTACTTTTAACGCATGTTGAAATTTTCAATGACATTACATTAGGCTATGCAGAGAGAGGACAAGAGATGTAAACTGAGTTGGGCTGGCACGAGCACAGCTTAAGGTGAGCCCGCCTTGACACGATTCAAAATGGGCTAGCCCAAGCATAGGCACACCCCTCGTGTCGGTTGCTATTTTAGCCCAATATTTTTAAAAATTTGGCAAAAACTTTTATTTTTACCCATCCTTACAACTATATAACGCCTAGTTTAAGGGGTAAATCTAGAATTTATAATTTTTAACTTCTATATGCCATTTTTACCTATCCTAACAGCTAGTTTGAGGGGTAAATTTGAAATCCAATATTTTTAAATTCTCTATAAATATCTTACCTCATTTCTTTTCTTTCTCATCAAATTACTCACTTTCACCCAACATTAGTGTACACATTTCCATGTACAAGGCTACAAGTATAAGTTGCAATTTACAGCTACATCAACGTCTTCGATTACTAGTCTATATCCACATCTTCAATTACATGTCTGCATCTACATCTTCAATTACAAGTTTGGATCTGCATCTTCAATCACTTCAAATTTGGTTGAGATATTTAATTTAATTACGTGCTTTAATTGTAATTACTTATTTTGAATTGAAAATTGGCCCTAGGAATTTGAATTTGAAAATTTAGATTTTTGTGAATTTAATGAAATTAATGATGTGCAGGAAAGTTCAAGTGAACCTTCAAACAAACCTAGTGCAACTAGTACTCATGGTAGGGGAACAAGGACTCACACGTCTGAAGTGTGAAATAAAAGAACAAATAAAAAATAAAGTTGGTTGCAAAAGTAATAATGGCTTGACAAAACATAGTGGTGGCAATGACCCTAGACAAACCCCACTTACTCAAACCAGAAGTAATTTGTCAACTTTTTCATACTCTCAAGAAGAAATGAAAGAATGATTTGCCAAATACATAGCTTCAGTAGAGTAACCTTTTACTTTTGCTGAAGATGTTAGATTTGAAAACTTTATTAAATCATATTAACCCTTCTTATTCTAATGTTTCTAGAAATACTACTTCATGTTTAAAGGTTTTATGATTAATATCTTGTACTTTTGATTTAGGGACTGGTCACAATAAGCTATGTTTTATCTGTGTTACGATACATTTTATTGATTCAAGTTGGGTGTTGCGTATAAAAATTATTATTTTTTGTATGATAAACTTTTTAGTATTACTTTTGAGAATCATTTTGCTAATAATACTACAATTGAAATGTTTAAACATAATTTTCATCATCCTTTGGGTGATGAATTGTTTCTTGTAAAATGTGCCTGTCATATAATTAATTTGATTATTCAAGATGGCTTAAAATTAATTAAGCAGCATATATAAAAAATTAGGAAGTCAATTTTTTTTATTGCTTCATCTCCTTCTAGGCAACAAGAATTTTTTTATTTATGTAAAACATATGGTCTAAAAATCTAGAAAGTTTAAATCTGATATTAAAACTCATTGGTACTCTACATTTCTTATGTTATTAGCAATGCATCACGTGTGTTGCACGTGAATAATTTTCGTATACAAAATATTAATAAAAAGTATTAAGTATATGTGTGTTTACATTAAATATAATCTGAAGTTTATCAAAATTATATTTTTATTGCTCGTATTATACTATAAATATTGTCTATTCCCAGTGATTTGTTGTTTTAATTATAAAAATAAATAAATATAATTCATTTAAATTCATTGGATTAGGTTTCAACTTATAATTCATGAATAAAATAAAAATAATTGTTTAGGAATTAGTTAGATCAATAGGGATAAAATATAGGGTTAATAAAACTTTGGGTCTCTAAAGTATTCCTTTTTGTCAATTTCATCCTCAATATATTATTTTATTAATTTGGTCCATAAAATATTTAATTCTTATTGAAATGGTTCTTAATCAGACGGTGCATTAAATTTTTTGACAAAAGTAACCGCATGTTATTTCGTCATATAATATCACGTGATCAACACGAAATCACTTATGTCAAAAACTTAACAGATTGTCTGTATATAGGTCATTTAAACAATAACAAAATACTTTATAGACCAAATTGACAAAAATCAATACAATGAGGATCAAACTGATAAAGCATGTATATCTGAAGGACTAAAAGTGTTATTAACCCTAAAATATAATATATTTTAAAAGAATATTAAAATTCTAAAATTCAAGTTTTACTCAAAAATATACTTATTTTTTTTTATATAAGCTCTTAATAAAATATGAAAAGTTTATTGTGGTTGAAAAATTTTGTTGATTTAACATAAATTATTTTTTTAAAAAAACTACGTAAAAGATTATTTTTTATCTTAAAAATGAAATTATTGAAATTTTGGATAAAAAAATACACATATATAAGCATAATGTTATCCTTATATTTGAAATGAGTAATGTTAGATTGATGAAATTTTTGAAAAATTTTTGAACGTTTTATTAAAAACTATAGTGATGCATATATTTTTTAAGGGTAACGTAGTCAATTAAAAAATTTCATAGATAATGATATTTATATATAGTGAATAGAGAATTAAAAAAGATGCTAGGTATAATTTAGAAATTTAGAAATATAAGTATATAATGGTAATTTAGATATTCAACTACGGAAGAATAATATGGTATTTAAAATTTTTTATAAGAGTAAAATAGTGAATCAAAAGTTTTTCATTCTAAAGTATTTTTATTAATAGTATAGATAGAAAAAAATACATATATATAGACATAATATTAATTTTTTTATTTGAAAAGAGTAATGATCTATTGATAGACTTTTTAAATACGTTATTGAAAACTATAATGATGCATATATTTTTTTAAAGGTTGCGAAGTCAATTAAAATATTTCATAGATATTGATATTTATACAAAGATAATAAATAATTAAAATTTTATACATAAGGTGGTGATTGTAATTTAGATATTTCACTTTGAAAAGATAATGTAGTATTTAAAATTTTTTATGAGGGTAAAATAGTGAATTAAAAGTTTTTCACTTAAGGTACTTTTATTAGTAGTATAGATTATCATCATGTAATTACAAATTTTATTAATGCGAAATTCATGATATTTATATGACCTCACATAATTGGGAGTTGGGTTTATTTTCTTATAATTGTTGAAAGTTTTCTATAATGCAAAGTGTTTATTATCCTAATTCATGTGTTGTTCTTAATCAATTGTACAACACTTCTAATACTATCAATACATATAGAGAGAATAATTTTTTTGTAGACATTTGTCCCATAAGGGAAGAAAATTTTTAAAAATATTGGGAGTACATGTCACTTATTTTTTATTTAGGTGCGGTAAAGGATCCTACCAGAAAATTGGCTGGTGCAGAGGTGCTATTTAATGGAATTTCTGAAAATTTAAGCTTGTCACTTCATATTACTTTAGACGATATTAATAATTCGTTAACTTTCTCGTGTACAATTCATATCAATCTAAATATACAAACAATACAAGAAGTATTTCTTTATCATTTATTACAAGTAGCACACGAGCACGAGCACGAGCAAGAGACCTCCACAACCCAGACACAGCACATGCACGAAAATGGCACTGGCACGGCACGAAGCACGAACGTTAATAGGCCGAGCTGGCACGGCATGTTTGACATCACTATGTTATGAGAGCATGACAAAGCTTCTAAAGCATTAGAGAATCAGAAATAAAACTTGCTGCAGTGAATTCCATTTATTACCTCAGTTCCAATAATCAACAATACATGTGGCGTTTTGACCAGAGATGAAGAGAGGTATGTTTACCTTTACAATTTTTCACTACAAATGAAGAGGGGTATGCCTGGTGAACTCTTCTGTGTATCTAACTCTATAATATTGTTTTTGAGGACCAAAAACAATTTGTCTGTGTTTACAGAAGTATTGTGTTTGATTTGCAAATATTCACCTCCAGTTACCAACCCAAATGAGCAGAAAACTAACTGGCCAGATCAGCGCAATGCCACTTTGTTGAGCATTTTCCTTCTATTGCTTCCTTGAGTTTCCTCCCCAACGCAAAGGCCAAAGGAGGAGGGACAGCATTGCCTATCTGCCTATGTTTATTTTGAATGTTTCCAGCAAATTTATAGCTATCAGGAAAACCCTGTATCCACAACATGAAATAACATTTTATAAATCAGGAACCAGCAATGAACAATACAGAACTATTTTGTTCTATCCACCACAGTAAAATAGTTACCCCATCACCATGGCAAAGCCAATTGCAGAAGTTTGACAATTTCTTCAAAAAATGCAGAAAAGATGCTTACCTGAGATCGAGCACATTCCCGGACAGTGAGTATCCTATCCTGTTCAGGGTGAAAGCACATTCCAACCTTTCCCATGGGTTGAGGATCAGTGATAGAGGTTGGAAAGTTTCCTTCCCAGTCCAACCTACCAAAAAGTCCCTTCCATTGGTTATGCCTCTTGGCTGTGTTTGGTAAGCACCAGGGTATTAAGTCAACCACCTGTCCATTCGATAACAGAACCTGGAGAAACGAAAAGAAGTTTGAAATAAGGCAGTGATACCCTAACAATTTCACTAAAACATTAAAAGCATCCATATGCTAGTTTCAGATGTGTTACATTGCGAATGTGAGACTTGCACGTGATATTACAGCTCGGTATAACACTACGAGGCAAGACAGTCACCTTTTATGTAAAAGTAAAGCATGTTTGGTTATACGCAATATATATTTATTTCCTCTGGAATATCAAAAAGTACCTTCTCATCTGGGAGGTCACGCCAGTCAGCACCTGGACGTTTGGGAATTCTTTGGCACCGAATGAGATTTAACTCAATCATTTCTTTGGAAATATGATCAGTTAAGACATGCATACCTCCTCGAATCCCTTTTTGAAACCAAGAGACAGGTTCATTCTTGTACTGTGAAACAGAATATAAGGGAAAAAGGTAAGGAACAACAGAAGAAAAAAAAACGTCACCAACAGAAGAAATGTCCTCAGAAATGGAAAAGAGACCCTACATCCATAGCTGTAACTGAAGCCCCATTTCCAACAGCCGGGAGATCACCAATAGTATCTCTTACAGTTATTGCACGAAAAGGGGCACCAGTTGCAGTACTTCGAACGGCAGCATGGTGGATATTTGCATTTAATGTAATCTTAAGTTCTGGACCCGCAAAAACATTCATAGGCTCTGGCCATTCGGGGAGTGTCTCTTCAGGAGATGCTGCCCATATGAATGCACGTTTACGTGATTGAGAAACACCATATGCCCCAGCTTCCAAAATTCCAAACCTCACCTACCAAAAGACAAACTAATAATGAAAAGTACGTCATGAAAAATTAAATTATCCTTGCCATCTAGTATGTAATAGAAAAGACTTTTACATAAGTGAAGGAGTTCATAAACATATATAAATTTATATAACATGGATGAGGAGCACAACCAAGGTAAGTCATCCATGAGGTACCCATATATGCCTCTTTCAACAGGATTCCAGTTTTAGCAGTTATCACCTCAACAATATTTTTCGGCGAAGCAATAAGAAGAAAATGAAGTACTGTGTTATGTCCACTTTATCATGGATAACAAAGACATTCTCCAATCCTCAATGATTCTATTAGCTGGTTACCTAGTTAGTTGCCTTCTGGGTGAGGGGCTCAAATTAATAGTAGGTAAAATATATGCATGTACCTGATAACCCATTTGTAGGTAAAATATATGCATGTACCTGATAACCCATTTCAAGGAGAGAAACCAAAGTTAACTGAAATGTCTGCCGTTTATTGAAAGATATGAACGTCCTCACATTCTCAAGGAGGAAAAACTTGGGCCGGAAGTAATCAACAAAAGACAAGAACGACAAGATCATTTCACATTGAACCTTGCTCCAAGTGCTCTGATTAAATCTGTTCATCCCAGAAAAACCCTGCAGGAAAAGAAAAGTTACATATACAAGAATAACTACCTTAAATGCCCCATTGAAAATGTTTATAGAAAATCTGTAAACGAGAAGGGTAGTGGCCACTATATACCTGGCACGGTGGCCCTCCATTTATGAAATCCACTTGTCCAGGGCGAGGCAGAACACTAATCTTCTTTTCATCAAGCTTTGAAGCCAACTCAGCAGCCTCAGAAGTTGAAATACAGTCATCTGAATCCCCACATGCTGCCATGATAGCCCTGTATTTCAATTCATTGATTACTGATATAAGATGGTGAGAGAACAGAGCAGATATTGATGATTTACTGAGACAGAATGCCTATATAAAAGGTTGCCAAATTAAATATGGGGAAAAAAAAAACCATTATAAAGCTTGGAGCATATAAAAACAATGCAAATGCTAACTTCATCCAAGAGAGAGCTTCAACCTGAGGATCACATTGCAATTATCAATGAATGTCAATGCCTCTGGATGATTAAGGTTAAATGCTTCGCCTGCAGGTTCATCATACTCAATTGCCCACTTGGTCACTGATACACCTGTAAGCATTCAAAATATTGGACAAGCAGCTGAATACTTCAAAATATGGACTAGGCTGCGAGGCTAAATTTATGGTTACCTGATTGCTGTAAACCTTCAGATAATCCGCCACAACCAGCAAAAATGTCTAGTGTGGCCAGGCAATTCTTCAAATCACTTTGTTTGTCAATGATGTTTAAATCATTTTCTCCTTCTTTATATTTCCCTTTTATCTTTCTACTTGCAGCATCGTTAATTATCCTTTCTCCAAAGGGATTTAGGTTAATGCAAGCTGGCAACTGTCCACAACATGTAAGTTTATGGAGATTATTTGATGAAACCATAGCTAAAAAGATAAATTTCATCATGCTTAAAAAGAGAAAAAAACCATATAAAAAACTACAACAAATAACAAAATAGAGAGAAGAAAGTTTTCGGCTGAATATCAAACCTGTATAGAGTGGGAATAACAAGTTGAAGCACTCTATAAATGGATATTAACAATAATGTGTTCTGCACAATAGAGAAAAAGAAACCACCTGCTTGAGAGCTCCCTTCTCAGGGTCATAGAGATGTTCACAAAAGAAAACATGCTCCAAGATATAGGGGCTATCCAGAGATGGAAGATCTTGCTTTTTTCTAACTTCACACTTTCCTTCTATAGCAGCTATGGGTAGCATGACTATTTTTTCACTGTAATAAACCTGAAAACACAATTTTGAGGTACTTCAGAGCAAGTCTAAATCATTCATATAGATTAAAAGAAGAAATTTTTAAATAATTAAGAGAAAAATTCAGAAAAGATCAGACATGGAAAATCATATTTCGGAAAAACATAAGTTGCAAACTTGCAATTGATAGGACAATGTGAACATTCACAACCTATTCTTCTGGCGTGCCTGCACGCTATATGCACGCAGCATATCTGCACGTAGCTTGCACATCTACCAGATGTATTTGAGAAAATATTATTAATACAAGTTTTGGGTTCAAATACTTCCACTAACAAAGGAGAACAAGATTGAAGATTTCCTAAGTAGTCTTACCTCTCGAATATCAGAGCGGTATGCTTTCTCTGCTGAAATATCCTCTGGTCTGAAAAACCTCCTAACTTTGACCTTCACAGTTTCAAGGTCAGCTTGTTTAGGAGACTTAGGCACTTCGATTTCCAGCAAGTGACAAACCACATACGCTTTAAGACCCACATTCCTCCCACTCTTAAAAGTCTCATTGTCCCTTGGATCCACTGCAAAATGATGAGGACCTAAATAGAGAAAGTCATGAACATGGTACTCAGTACCATGGTATGCAAAACTTGTCATCGCTGGATTTAGCATAAAGACGTTCTCATTCTGGGATTGTTTTATTTTACACGAGTGGCAATGCCCAGTACCAAGACCCATTTTATCAGTATGCAAACAAACGAAGGCACCTCTCTCAGGCCAGTACAAATTTTTACAAAAGTATTCCATGGGCAATCCTCTACATTTCCTATCCTCTGCTCTTGCCCTCTCAATCTTATCCCTATTGGCATTATCCTTACGATGTTGATAGGCGCAAGGCACTAATCGTGTTTCCACAACCACAGGTTCTTTAACATCACTAAGCTCAAATTCCAAGCAATCATTTGTCAGAAATACCTCCCTCTCATTAGCAGTGTTGCCAAGAACAGTCTGAAATCCTCTTAGCATTAATCTTCCATGAACCAATTTCCTGGCATCAAAGTCTTCAAACATGTACTCTACAAAATAGATAGGAAGATATTCATTCGAGTTAGCTGTTTCCACCAGCACCGAACCACCTACAGCAACCACATTCCCACGGACAATAGCTTGTTTATAAATAGCCTCACCTGCACATGTTTTTCCAACTGTGTCCCCATCCCATACAATTTCTGATGTAGAATAATCTGTTTTCCTATGTTTTGATGCTAATTGAGGTTTCTTAATTTCCTCGGGCAGTAGAATTTTCTGTTCTTCTACCTCTTCAGTGTCTTCCTCTTCATTTTCTTCTTCTTCTTCCTCAACTTCATCATACTTCAGTTCTTGACCATTATCCTCCTTCGAGTCATCAGGCAAGTAATTCGAGTAGTACTCCCCCCAAATTCTACTAATTAGTCTGGTTGTTGTAGCTGGCATTGCCTTCCTTTTTGAGACTAGGGGCGCCATTGTTGCTCTTGGGTTCATATTTGCTTCCTTCTTCAATATCACTTTTTTCTTCACTAACCACTTGGTATGATGTCGTTCTTCCATTTTCTCGTAAAGACCGTTCACAAAAGCACACTTCCTAATAGTATGATCAGGATACTCAGCAAATTGTTGCAGTATTATCTGCCCATGAACTACCACATACCTCTCCACGACAGTCGGACTGGTAGAAATGTAAGAGGGGTGATCGTTGTTGAATTCAGACACACTCTTAATGACATCTGCAAAAGAGAGACGTGATACTCGGCTCTGCTCCTTCAACAATGTAATGATGCTAATTGCAAGCCTCGCTGTTTTTAAAACTGGTTCATACCAGGGAGTGTACTGCTTTGATGGCTTTCCCAGGCGATACCTGAAAGAAACAGAAAGAAGACAACATAACCATACATCATAAATTGATCTCTCTCTACTCAAACATTTCTGAAAGACTAGGCCTGTAGTTTTCTTCAAGATAAAGGGGAAGATTAAGTCAATTGGGTTCTTTCAATTGAAAGACCTCAAAGGTCCGTACTAAATTTTTTACACCACTCCGTGGTATGGGCATTCGTCTTAAATTTAAAAAGAAAAACTTCTAAGTACTTAGATAAACATCTTCTGATCTTTAGGTATCATACACCCTTGAACCTGCCTGGGGGAGCATATTGGTAATTGTGCTTCATATATAAGAAGCTTGTGATAGCGTGGAAATAGGTGGGAAACAGAAAGTTGAGAAAAAAACAAGCAAGGTTTTCCTCATTCTAACTGTGAAGAGAGGGATACAAGACGTACTGTGATGTAGAACAGAAATTAGTATTTATTTTTATTTTAGTTCAGCCCAATGTAGTAATAAGCCTAAGGCTTAACTTAGCCCAATTTCTAATGTTTGTTGGGTAGAAGTTTCTAGTGATGTATCAAAGAAGGTGGTTGGGAGAATGTTGAGACATTTGAAAAAGGCATTAAATTAAGTAGTTGGGAGATGAAAAGAATATTAAAATTCAACAAAAAATTTGTACTTACAAGGCCATATCCGTTCGAATAATGGTGTTGCATTTGTCATAAAATAAAAAAACCCTACCTTACTTCATATATTATATATATTCTCATCTTTAGGTATCATACACCCTTCAGCCTGCCCGAGGGAGAATACTAATGACTGTGCTCATATATAATAAACCTGTGAGGTGCTGAAATATTTGGTGAACCGAAAGTCAAGGAAAAAAACAAGATTTTCCTCATTCTAACCATGAATGGAGGGATCCAAGGTGTGCAGAACTACGTACTTCAAAATTCAACATAATTATGTAGCTTACCAGGCCATATCCGTTCGAATTGAAATAAAGACCATTGATGATCCAAATTCAATCATCCACTCCTTTATTGCACTCAAATACATTGGGATACCGTCCACATCCTGTGACCCGGAAGAACTAGAAGAAGAAAGATGGGAGTCAGCATCAAGACAAAATCCGCTGCCATCATCAGCCGTCATAATTCCCGAACCATAAATGGTCACATCAATATCAGCACATGGCTTCATTGGCAGAAGCTCCAATGAAATCAATCTCGAGTCTGAATTGTAAAGAGACCAGTTATGAAGCTTGCTTCGAGGAAGCTGATCAGGATCATAAGCATCCATATCATTGTCAAATATTATGTACTCATCTGTCTCTGGGATGGAGGTTTTATAATAAGCTGGAAACGGATAGTCATTTGCAATCTCATCTTCATTGATCTTCAGATAGAACTTGTTAGAGGAAGTAACTGAACGTTGCCTTTTCTTATGCCTCAATGATTGCCAATTCTCTTTTTCCTGCAACAATGAAGCCAATTTCATATCTTCATCTTCATCTTCCTCGGTTGCACAAGTGGAGGTATTTAACTGATTCATTGTGTCGCCATCTCCAGTTCTCACATCTGTTCTCAACACCACTCCAGATGGAACTGTCTTTGCAGGCTCAAAATCCTTACATTTCTTACTATTTTCCCTAAGGGCAACAAGAACAGGCAGTTCACTAAACATCTGATCATTGTTGGTGGATGTCTCATCCAAGCCAATCAGCTGATTATATATGAACCCACCCCAGGAAATTATCAAGTCTTTGATAGATGCTCCACGAGGAAAATTTTTACTCCCACTCAGTGAGCGGACAACCGCTGCAAGTAGCTCATCAGCACAAAGGTCAGGATTGCCTCCAGAAGATTTTGATAGTCTTTTATAAATTTCAACACATGCACGAGCCTTTTCAAAGAAAAGGCCATACAACATTTTGTAGCTGGTGGCAGGTTTAACACAGTCATAATCAGCAATTTCCGTGGAGACCCATATGACTGGTGAACCATCTTCATACCCAGATATTGCCCAAGATTCAAGGGGTCCAAATCCTTCACATAGAACCCCTGTATCCTTCTCTTCGCCTGAAGGTCCCTCCAAAGACAGAATGAGACCAGAAACATATAAATCACATACTTCTAGCATCTCAACAGGCTGTGGCTTTCCATCTGCATCGTGAAAGATGAAATCTGTCAATCGTCTGTTTGGCTTAATATCAACCTGGCCAGTTGTCGAGCTTATAGCTGTTTCCTCATCTTTCACTACTTGAATTCTTTTAGCTTCAACAATCATGGACTTATCTGACGAGCGTATTGATTTATGCTTGGAGGTGGTGGAGGAAACTGTTCGCTTTGGCATTTTTGGTGAACCAGGCACATTTTCCCGGATCTCAGACCTCACTCGCTTTTGTTTTGATTTAGTGGATACATCAGCATGAGGATCTTCTCCACTATTATCAGAAAGTGCATTCTTTGATTTTCCTTTTGTTCGCTTCTTATCCATTTCTGAAACCACAAATCAGATCAGAAATCGAAGGCATATAGCGTCTAATTTAGAAAGGTAGTAGGAGTAATGGAATATACAGAAATAACCAACAGAACAGAAGTTAAAACCACAATGGCAGGGAAGTAGACGTAGGGGAAGCCAAACAAAAAACTTAGCAATTTAAGTTCATGAAAGGAGCATATGCAACGCAAAACATGAATACTGGAATCCAATTAAGAAAACTTGCAGCCATAAAGATACACAGATGGAAACATTTTACGAGTGCAGACAATAGAAGATTCAACTACACAGAAAGACGTCAGATATCTGCATTTATTTTGACACCCAAGAGAAAGAGTGCAAAACAGGCCTGAAAAGGAAATCTAACCCTTAAACGCAACCTCCAGGGCCAAGCCATCAACTACCCATGCTTGGCACCTTACAACCTTCTGAAACTTTGCATTTCTCAACACAAGTTTTGAGTGAAGACCTCTAGAACAGTATGAGATTCGCAGTAAGGTACACGTTGTATGTGCCTCGTACTCATAAAAAACTCTTCACTAGATCGTAAAGATATGTTTATTTCAAGGTTGAAAAACATGTGATGCATGCCTTACGGAAGGGCAAAAAGAGGAAATTTCAGATTTCAAATTGCAAATTGCAATCCTTTTGTGCCTTTGCTGATCTGATCATAGCACTGGCAACAGCGCACTGTTGACCTTCAATATCTTGATCATTGAGATAAGTCCTTGACTATAGGCCTTATGTCTTAAGTGGTAACAAATATTCATTCACAAAAAGAGATTCCCTATGCCAAACTATGTTTATTCCTTTCACACTCAAAATATTGATCTGGCAGAAAAAGTTTGGAAGCACAAATTATCTTTTACTGTTCATGTAACCTTTTATTCAGATTTCAGACTCGGTGAGTCAGTGACAACGAATAGAACAATCAAATAAAACTGAGTCTGTAAGTAGTATAGGCTAAATTGAGATGGTATAATTAACAGATATTTGGCATGTTTGGACCTTAAGTCATCAAACAAGAGCAAAAGGGCTTTTCTAAGTTGTCGCATCAAACAAGAGAAAAAGTGCATGTCAAACGGTGGAAAATCGAAGATTACAAGCTTGCGCCTCTTGTAATTCTTCTCCTAGTTTCTAGAAATAAGGAGTGCTACAGCACACATTTAAGGCACCCCTCATTCTTTACTTGGACTATAATAAGTCGGAATGAAAATTCAGCCAAGTGGGGGTGAGGAATCCAAGCTTACGATAGTTAGGGCGTGTAGAAAAATAGATTTGATGAGGCTTGAACCAAAAGGCAACGGGTAGGCCATTTCACGGCCGCTTCTAGTAATTCTGATTTGCAGAGTCATGGAACCAAGCCCAACCAGATCATAAGAGACAATCCAATGGCACTGAGGCTACTAAACCCTCACACCAATCTTCGAAACATCACAAATAAGGTGATATCTTCAAAACCCATTATTCAATAAATTGAGGGGGAAAAAAAAAGAGTAAACCCAACAAATGCCAACAGGTTGGCACCTTAAATTCAAACTTTGCCCTCATTTGAATGCGAATATGTTCGGATGGAAGACTACTGATGGAGATAAACATAAAACTACACCAGATTAATAAACTAATGAAATGGGCATTATGCATAATTTAGTAATTCTTTGAAAATTAAACACTTTCCTTTGTGAATGCTTCCCGGTTCCCTCTATTAAGTTGAATGAACATTTTTTTCTCTGTCACTTTTTTACCTTTTTTTTTTTTGGGGGGGGGGGGGGGGGGGGGGGGTTGGGGAAATGGGACTTAAACCCTTAACCTCAAGAAGACAGCTCCTTCACAAGGCAATGAGTACCATTGGACCAAAGGACCATTTGTCATCACTTTTTTATCTTCTTTTCTTTCCCAAGCAACATTTCTTGAGGTCCAATTTTGACACAATTCAAGTTACATGTATTGGTAGGCCTACCATGCATTCGCACTCTTTTACCCACACAAAATTTCGTAGTACTTAAAACTCAATGTAAGAATGGAAATACAATGGATCCCAAATTTGGGATCTCAAATTGTATCCCAAATGAATAAGGATCATTGGATGAGTGGGTCCGTTAACTTTTTTAAATGGGAACCATTAATCCAATGACCCTTATTGATTTGGGATGCCATCTGGGATCCCTAGCATTGCTCATGTAAGAATCCTATATAATGGGTACTTTAGATATATATCATTATCCTATGGAGAATCAAAGATGTTACGTTAAAGATGTTACGCTATAGTGTTATTTGTAGATTAGAGGTATTTTAATATTTTGTATCTATATATATAAACAGTGTGTAGTTTTAACCTAACACTATTATATTATGATAATCTTCTATTTTCTCCTATTCTTCTTATCTCTCTTCTCCAAACCCTAGCAACTTCACAACTTGGTATCGGAGCCACGATTCAAAACGAACGTCTAAACTCATCGGAATTCAAACCTAGCAGTTCACACTCCACAGTGATCATTGCGTCTAATACATTTCTAGAAAAAATAAGAAGTAAATTTATTCCCGTTATATCTTCAGGACTTAAAAGTCATGCATAAACATAAAATGATAAAACAAACATGCATAATTTTTTTCTTAAATATGTTTGTGCACATAATCCATTTACATAGGCCGGAAAAAAGCAGAGCTTTCTATGCTAAGTTGTTCGTACTTGTTGCCATGCATAGTTGATAATTTGCAGTTGTCTTCGCAACGTAAACTATAGCTATTTGATATCTTTGAAACTCAAAGGGATACACGAAAGAGGCAAAATACAATAACATGTACGATATTCAACATGATAGTAAGGATAAAATACTCATAAATACTACAATCAAATTATGGATAAATAAAGGTCAAATTAGGATAAAAATGCACAGATCCTATGCCAAATTTCAATTCGTCTTCCTACCTATGCATGCAGTAGCTTCAGCTAGACGGAAAGAAAAATATTGAATCACACACATCTTCGATTTCTCTCCAAATATACACCCTATAAAGAGTCATAGTCAAGTTGATCATTATTTTCTACTATATGCGTCATCCTTGTTGGAGGACCACATCCATCACTAGGACTGGAAACATCTTTCAAGCTGTCTTTCTGAACATGAATTGCTTAAAAATAATAAATGAAAAAAAATGAACAATTTGAACAATGGTAAAAGTATGTAAAGTGAGAGGAGTGTTGAGAACAACAAAAAATAATGTAGGAAACCAATCCCTTCGGAGAGATTTAGCACCACTTTGTCCTACTTATGCACATTGCAGAATAAACATTCGTTCTATCAACCCTCCCAGAGTAGCATCTTCCATAACTTACTCTCATCGTTCAAACTTAGATTTAAATATTAAACGGCAATGTGAATTCACTTATGTTGCTCCTACTACTGATGTTATTTATCCCCAACACATGAGATGTGTGTTGAAAAACGAGAGATGACAGTAAAAACGAATAATAATAAGATTCATAGTGAACTGCAAAAGAGTGATAAAATGAGAGATCTAATCCCCCAAAGTGATAATGACCAAAGAAACCAAGAGTATACACCGCAAGGGAAAATACACAAGTGCATCAGATGACATAGCACACAAAGAGATATCAGATGATGAGGAACAGATATACTTTATTTGTATAGACCTCTTAATACCCTAGACTTGAAGATCATTCGTCGTATTTATTGGGTGACAACGTTTATGGGCAACCTCCATGTTCTGATTGAGCAAATAGGGAAATGATTTATTAAATCAAAAAAAAGGCTGGATATGGATTGACAAATGCATGCATGCATGCATACGTACGTACAAACACATAAAATTGCTTAACTCTAATCAAACCAAGTGAATATCATAATTCAGCCCATTGGATGATTAGAATAGGAAAGCACACATCAACTCCCACCCTGAACTACACTCTTTCGCTCTTCCTTTTTGTTTATATGGGTGCATAAACATATACAGTTTTATTGAGCAAATCAACAGCCCAATTCCACTACTTATTAGGGGAAAAAAAACAGGTACACTAGATCAACATTTGAGGTAAACAAAATAACTGAAGAGTAGAGATCCTTTATTTTACAAGATGTTACCCTCATGTGTGTGTGTGTGTGTGTGTTGATCTGAAATTTGGTCCTCCTGGTTTTCCATTGTTGTTTTAACTGGTCATCCTTTTCTCAGATCATCCGCCTATTCATTATATATGTCCCTCTCTCTAATACACAGACGCACAAGACACTCCCTTTGATTAAAAAATAATCAAACTCTCAGAATTGCACATATATCCGTGTAATTAGATCTTTCATCCATTTCTAGAACTGCTTTTTTGTCAGTTCACCATATGAATCACCCTCTTTCTCACTCTCTCTCTCTCTCTCTGCCATCAAATAGCAATCATACATTTAAAAAATGATATAATTGAGAATATATTAACCAAAGAAAAAAAAATACACCTGCAATCATACAATCAACCAAAGATACACTTGCAATTGAGCCATTGTAATTGTTCTTCATATGTGAAAACAATACAGCAAAGTAAAAAAAATAGAGAATATACCTTGACTCTGATCCAATCTCTCTCTCTCTCTCTCTCTCTCTCTCTCTCTCTCTCTCTGGGGAGGGGGGTTGATTGTTTAAGCAATTCACTGCAGGTCTGAACTGACCATCCATTTGTTGCTTATATACACAGCCATGGGAGGACACGCGGACGTGAGCACACACACACACTCTCTCTCATTCATTCCCTCTACACAGCACACTTTCTCTCGCTAAAACAGAATCTGTCTACACACTCATAATTAATGTAGTGAGATAAAATGGACATAAATTACATCCCTTCAAACATTAAATGACCTAAAATCATCAAAATCTTACCTGGATTCCCTGCATCTTGTGCGTAATCCAACACATTCGTTGTCCCCATCTTCACTTCCCATACACATATAAGAACAAAATCAATACCATCAAACCACAAAACCACATTGATTCT